TCTCCAATCTACTTCGGCAATTCAGGGCAAAGGAAACCAGCAAACTTCATGTGGGGCCTTGGCTTGTGGGGGCCCTCTGCCCTCCAGAAAAAAACTTGAAGCCACGGGAAAACACAGGAAAAACACCAAACAAAGACACCCAGATCCCAAACCTGCCCAAGCGCCCAAAGTCGACGCTGGCTCAGCGCGTCTCAAGAACATGCCGACGCCATTTACTCTTGTACTGATGACTGCAACATCTAAACATCCGAACGTAAGCTGAGCGCCCACAAGCTCCCACATGCACACTCGTGGAGAACGCACGCAACACTTCCACCCACAAGCGCCCACGTGCGCCCGCAAGACCCGCAAAAGAGCGCCCACAAGCGCACACATGCGCCCATGAAAGGCATTAAACACTGCCGCCCAACAAGCGCCCACATGCGCATGAAGGCGACCCCCAAAAACGCCGCCGAGAAGCAACCGCAAGTGCCAGTACCCGCACCGCCGACTGAAAGTGTCCATGGCAGCTAAAACCGTCCACACAAGGGCGCAAACCGCCCGCAAAAACAGTTCAGCCCCACATGCGCCCTCATACCATGACTGGAGCGCCCGCAACGCTACCGCCCACACCGCCAAGACTTCCACCCGCATGCGTTCATGACCCACCCAGACTGACTGGCGCCCACAAGCGCCCACAAGCCCACGTGCACTCACAAGCACCCATCAAAGAGGCACTTCTTCCAAGCGCTTGTATGCGTTCACAACCCGCAGCACAACACTTCATCAAGAAAGCACCTGCGCCCACAAGCGCCCACAAGCACTCACCACATCCGCCCAGAAGCGCCCACATGCGCCCATGCGCTCACGCGCCCGCCAGAAAGCCCCGCAGCACTTCCGCCCACAAGCAAGCGCCCACATGCGCCCACATGGAAGCAAACCAAGAGAGAGCCCGCGTGTGCCCACTAGCACCCACAAGCCCATGAAAAGCGCGGCGCCCGCAACACCACCCACCAAGCCAAGAGCTACAAGCCCACACCCGCAACCCCGCCCACAAACAGAGCACCCACGAGCCCCCCAAAACGAGCGCCAACCAAGCCCAGCAAGAGCGCCCCAAAAACCGGCGCCCACAAGCGCCCACAAGCGCCCACAATGCCCACAAACCCAGAAAGAGCAACAAAGCAAAAGCGCCCACAAGCCCAGCAAGAGCCCACGAGCGCCCAAAAGTGCCCACAAGGGCCAGCCCAGCAAAAGCGCCCACAAGCGCCCACAAGCCCAGCAAAAAGCAAAAGCGCCCACAAGCCCAGCAAGAGCGCGCACAAGCGCCCAAGCGCCCACAAGCCCAGCAAAAGCTCTTAGCAGCCCACAAAAGCGCCCACAAGCGTTATAAGTCAATAAGCGCCCACAAGCCCAGCAAAAACGCCCACAAGCCCACCGACAACCTGGATTAAGGGTAAGCAGGGCGTCTTTTACCAAAAGTTCAGACACATTTGCTTTGGGCCTAGGTTTGCGATCGTCCGGAGGAACCCTCATCGTCTTGAAGCAGTTGGCTTTTTTGAGGCATCGTCCACCAGCAAGAGCGCGCAAGCGCTCGCAAGCCCAGCAAAAGCGCCCACAAGCCCAGCGAAAGCGCCCACAACCCCAAGAGAGCCCACAAGCGCCCACAAGCCGCCTGCAAGCCCAGCGAAAGCGCCCACAACCCCAAGAGAGCCCACAAGCGCCCACAAGCCCGGCAAAAGCGCCTACAAACACCCACCGCCACAAGCCCAGCAAAAGCGCCCACAAGAGCGCCCAAACAGCAAAAGCACCCACAAGAACCAAGCCCAGCAACGCCAACAAGCCCAGCAAGCCCCGCAAAAGCGCCCAAGAGCGCCCGCAAGCGCCAACAAGCGCCCACAAGCCAGCAAAAGCGCCCAAAGCCCAGCCCCACAATCCCAGCAATAGCGCCCACAAGCCCAGCAAGAGCAGGCCAGCAAAAGCGCCCACCCACAAGTGCTGAGCCCAGCAAAAGCGCCCACCCAAGCGCCCACAAGCGCCAACAAGCCCAAGCAACAGCGCCAACAAGCGCCCACCCACAGCCGCCCACACACGCCCACAAGCCCAGCAAAACCGCCCACCAGCAAGAGCGCACAAGCGCCCAAGCCCAGCAAAAGCGGCAAGCCCAGCACAAGCGCCCACAAGCCCAAGAGAGCGCACAAGCGCCCACAAGCCTAGCAACAGCCCCCGCAAGCCCTACAAGCCCAGCAAAAGCGCGCACAAGCCCAGCAAGCCCGCAAACCCAGCAAAAGCGCCTACAAAGAGCGCCCAGAGCCTCAAGCCCAGAAAAAAGCGCCCACAAGCCCACAAGAGCGCCAAGCCCAGCCGCCCACAAGCCCAGCCCACAAGCCCAGCAAAAGCGCCCACAAAGAGCACCCACAAGCGTAAGCCCAGCAAGCCCAAGCGCCCGTAAGCCCAGCAAAAGCGCCCACAAGCCCAGCAAAAGCCCACCCACAATCCTCGCAAAAGTGCCACGTGCAGGCGCCCGCCTGCTCAGCACACAACGGTGCAGCCTGTGGGCTTGTGTGCATCTTAAAGGGATACATGTGGGCGCTTGCGGGCACTTCGGCCCGGCGGGAACAACGGGAAAAAACGAGCGGGACAACGCAAGTGCATGTGGGCGCATGTCGGCGCATGTGGGCGCCACAAACCCACAAGAAAAGCGCCCACAAGCACCCACAAGCCCAAGAAACCCACAAGCCTAGAAGAGCGCCAAGCCCAGCAAAAGCGCCAACAAGCCCAGCAAAAGCGCTCACAAGCCCAGCACTGCAAAAGCGCCCAAGAGCGCACAAGCGCCAACAAGCGCCCACAAGCCAGCAAAAGCGCCCACAAGCCAGCCCCACAACAGCGCCCGCAAAGCCGAGCAACAGCGCCCGCAAAGCCCAGCAAGAGCAGCCCAGCAAAAGCGCCCACCCACAAGTGCTGAGCCACAAGCCCAGCAAGCCCAGCAAGCGCAGCAAGAGCGCCCACCCACAACCGCCCACACACGCCCACAATCCCAGCAAAACCGACCAGAAAGCCCAGCAAAAGCGCCCACAAGGCCAACAAGAGCGCCCGCAAGCACCCGTAAGCAAAAGCGCTTCGCCAAAAAGCGCCTACAAGCCCAGCAAAAGCGCGCGCAAGCCCAGCAAGCCTCTACAGGCTCAGCTAGCAAAGGCGCTTACAAGCGCCCACAAGCACAGCAAAGGCCCAAGCGCCTACAAAATCGCAAGCGCCCACAAGCGCCCAGCACAAGCCCGGCAAAAGCGCCCACAACCTACAAGCCAGGAAAAGAGCCCACAAGCCTACAAGATCGCCAACCCACAAGCCCAGCCCACTCACAAACCCAGCAAGCCCCGCAAAAGCGCCCGAGCACGCGCCAACGCCCACAAGCCTAAGCCCAGCAAAAGCGCCCACAAGCCCAGCAAAAGCCCACAAGCGCCCACCGAAAAGTGCAGCAAAAGCGCAGCAAAGGGTGCCACCTGCAGGGTGCCGGCCTACTCACAGCAAGTGAGCCCACAACGGTGCAGCTAAACATGTGGGCGCTGGGCACTTCTGGTTGATTGTGGGAAAAGAAAGAAAAACGGGATCGAGCGGGAAAAAACGGGATCGAGCGGGAAAAAACGGGAAAAAACCGGAACGAGCGGGAAAAAACGGGAACGAGCGGGACAAAACGGGCTGACGCGAGTGCATGTGGGCGCATGTGGGCGCATGTGGGCGCATGTGGGCGCCGGCAAAAGCGCCCACAAGCCCAGAATGAAGAGCGCCCACCCACAACCGCCCACACACGCCCACAATCGCAGCAAAACCGCTCACCAGCAAGAGCGCGCAAGCACCCAAGAGAGCCCACAAGCGCCCACACGCCCAGCAAAAGCGCCCACAAGCCCAACAAAAGCGCCCACAAGCGCCCATAAGCAAAATCCCTTAGCCAAAAGTGCTTACAAGCCCAGCAAAAGCGCGCACAAGCAAAGCGCTTTTGCTGGGCTTGTGGGCGCTTTTGCTGGGCTTGTGGGCGCTTTTACCGGGCTTGTAAGGCGCTTGTGGGCGCTTGGGATTTTGTGGGCGCTTGGGCTTTTGTGGGCGCTTGGGCGTGGGCTTGTGGGCGCTTCTGGGTTTGGCTTGTGGGCGCTTTTGCTGGGCTTGTGTCGGAGCCCACAACAGTGCATAGCCTTGTGTGTGGGCGCTTGTGGGCACTTGGGCACTTGTGTGTCGAAAACGGCAAAAAACGAGAAAAAAAAACGGGCTGACGCGAGTGCGTGTGGGCGCATGTGGGCGCACGTGGGCGCATGTGGGCGCCACAAACCCACAAGCCCAGCAAAAGCGCCCAGCCCCACAATCCCAGCAAAAGCGCCCACAAGCCCAGCAAGAGCAGGCCAGCAAAAGTGCTGAGCCCAGCAAAAGCGGAAGCGCTTGGAAGCCCAGCAAGGGCGCCCACAAGCGCCCACAAGCCCAAGCCACCGCCACCAGACGCGCCCACAAGCCCAACAAAAGCGCCCACAATCCCAGCAAGAGCAAAAGTGCGCACAACCACAAGCACTCAGAAGCACACAAACACTCACAAACACTCACAAACGCTCACAAACACTCACAATTACTCACAAACACTCACAATCACTCACACTCACAAACACTCACACAAACACTCACAATCACCCGCAAACACTTACAATCACTCACAAACACTCACAATCACCCACAAACACACACAAACACTCACAAGCACGCACGCGCTCACTCGCTCACTTGCTCACTCGCTCACTCGCTGACTCGCTCACTCGCCCACTCGCTCTCTCACTCACGCACTCACGCACTCACGCACTCACGCAGTCAGTCACGCAGTCAGTCACGCACTCAACGCACGCACGCACTCTCTCACTATCTCACTCTCTCACTCTCTCACTCTCTCACTCTCTCACTCTCACTCTCTCACTCTCTCTCTCTCTCTCTCTCTCTCTCTCTCTCACTCACTCACTCACTCACTCTCACTCACTCACTCACTCACTCACTCACTCACTCACTCACTCACTCACTCACTCACTCACTCACTCACTCACTCACTCACTCACTCACTCACTCACTCACTCACTCACTCACTCACTCACTCACTCACTCACTCACTCACTCACTCACTCACTCACTCACTCACTCACTCACTCACTCACTCACTCACTCACTCAACACACTCACAAACACACACGCACTCAAACACGCACTCCCTTCCTCCCTCTCCGCCCTCCCTCCCTCTCTCCCTTCCCGCCGCCAGCTGTTTCTTGCACACTGATTCACGTACGCAGCGTGTGTGCGCACGGACACACAAAGCGCTGAAGTTTTACGTGCGCCTGGGTACTCACAAAAGTAGCTGGAGGTCATCCACAAACAAGCCTCCGGAGTCGCTAACACCCACAAACTCCAGACAGAGAGGGAGAGACAGAGAGAGAGAGAGAGAGAGAGAGAGAGAGAGAGAGAGAGAGAGAGAGAGAGACAGAGAGAGAGAGAGAGAGAGAGAGAGAGCGCACTAACGCCCACAACAACGCCCACACAAGCTCAGCAAAATGTCCAAAGCCACAACCACTAAAATGGTCCAACCCCAACACGTGAGACTTTGTCCATCAACCGGTCAAAGGGTCTGAAACTGAGCTTCCCAGATACTCACATGTGAGTGGCGTTCTTGCTGGGCGGTGTTCTCTGAGCGTCGTGGTTTTGATGCGGCTGTTCTTCCTTGCGGGCACTTGCGGAGAGTTTTGTGCTGTTTGGGCCTGCGGGCGCTTGTGGGCGTTGCAGGCATCTTCCTGGGCTTGTGGGCGTCGGTGTTGCGGGCGTCTTCCGGGAGCGCCGTTGCGCTCTTCCTTGTGCTTGTGGGCAGTTTTGGGGGCTTGTGAGCATGGGCGCCGGTCTGTGGCTGGGCTTGTGGGCAGCGTTGTGGGCGCTTGTGGGCGGGCGTCTTCTTGGGCAGGCGAGTGGCACCCAGAAGCTTGGGTTCTGGGCAAATGACACAAGATCTGACCGAATTTGACAGACAGGGACAGGGAAAGCAAAAGGAGCACCCAATCTCCTTGCGGGCCCTCAACAAGACGAGCCGAATAGGTTGACGGTTAGATATGCGCGGCGCAGCTAGATGTCCAGAAATAAAACAACCTTGCGGCCAAAGGCTATGGGGTTGCGCAGCCTTTCTCAGCTGTTGGGCCAGAAGGTGTCGTTGAACGCCGCCCTTGTAAACATTCAGGCGGCAATTTGAACCCTTCCCTTTGGATTCTCACTCCCTGATGGGTTCCTGGACATGTTAGTTGTAAACGACAACTTTGGTTGCTTTTTTTGGCCAGTCCACTCAGAGTGAGGTAAACATGTTCAACCCCCATGAAAAGAAGGTTTGAACCCCAGTAATGTAAGCGCCCATATGGACCGCTGCGGGCGCCCGCAACAGCGCAACACTGCCGCCCACAAGCGCCCGCAAGCACTCATGAAGAACGCCCGCAACCACCCACAAGCGCCCACCAAGAGCGCCCACAAGTGCCCGCAAGCAATTATGAAGGGAGCGCCTGCAACAGTGCCGCCCACCCCCCACCCCACAAGCACCCAATGAAACCCCGCCCACATGCGCCCACAAGCGCACCCAGCAGAGAGCGTGGGCGAGCGCCCATATGCGCCGCACACCCGAAAGCGCCCAAGAAGAGCCCCCACATGCGCCTAGAAGCACCCGCCAAGAGGAACGCCCACAGAGGCAACAGTGCTGCCCACAGCGCCCGCAAGCACTCATGATGCACGCTTGCAAGACTTCCGTCCTTGTGGCCCACATGCGCCCACAAGCCCCACGAAGGAGCGCCCACAAGCGTCCGCAAGCGCTCATGAACATCGCCCGCAAGACTTCCGCCCACAAGCGTCCACCAAGACAGCCCACCAAGACAGCCCACCTAGAGAGGCACAAAGGGAGCCGACAGCGCCTGCAAGCGTCCTTGATGTGAGCGCCCACAACGAAATGCCATTCCTTCAAAGCAAGCCGAAACTGGCTGATGCTGGCCGAGGCGGGCAGCACGAAGCGTGTACAATAAAAATGTGTGCTCGCGGAGCTTACCCTGACACCTGCGTTGTCACTCCCACTTGCAAGCGCGAGCTCTACGTTCAAGGGCTGCTTTGTTTCCTGCTGTTTCATGTTTCTTTGCTGCTGTTTCCTGATGCTTCCTGCTTCTTCCAGCTCTTTGGAAGGCCCCGAAAACAAGAGGCCCCACAAGGGATTTGCTGAGGAAAGTCCTCACGCGCGCCTGCAAAGCAGCGACCCAAATGACCAGGCAATGAGGGTTGGGCTAAAGCAAATGTCACATCCGCAAGCATCCCATACTCTCATTCTAAGCCCCATGCTCTATGGACATCCCCTTGCTACTGCCACAACCTGCAATACCCGAGCCCCCCGGGCATCCAGGCCTCCCCTTGTTTGGCTTCGAAGGCTACGTCCCGGTTCAGATACCAGGGACGCTTCTCGCCCTTGTTGCGCACCTGCGAGGGCTGCGGCTTCGGACCCCCTCTTGGCGGAACCAGTGGGTGAACTTCATATCATCGCTTGGGGGCAACACAGGCTGTTCTGCCTTATTGATCTCGAGGCCCTAGCAAAACAAGCAATGGTCTGCTGTGCAATGGCGAAAATAACCAGCGCATACCTCTAAGGCTCAGCAAGGAAAGGATAGTGTTCACAAACTTTTTGAGGAGGACCAGCTCAAACATGAAGTAATCATTGTATGACAAGTTACTTTCCTCTTGGGTCTTTTGATTGGCCTGCCGGATGTGCCGAAGCACCGCCAAACCAAATGGTCAAATGGCCCCGAACTGCCGCCGAGCCACAGGTCGATAGGATCTGATGCTGCAACACCTGAACTTCAGGCAAACCAAGGCAAACCTCATGGCATCCAAAAGACAAACATGCCGACATCTTAAAAAAAGGCTAGAAGCAGGTCACAATGGTGGGTGGCCTCACCCTTGGGTAGCTGGAGGACATTCCCGAAGATTTGCAGTTTGAAAGTTGAGTGTGCTCCGGATGTGTATCGACAAATTTGCAAAGCTGTAGCTCCTCGCCCCATAATTTCCCTACCATGATACTGAAGCTAATTCCAGCAACATAGCAGTGCATGAGAAATGGCATTGGTTTGTCAAGCAGTCAAGCAAAGCAACAGGCACGTAAGGAGAGAGTGATTTGCTGTCAATCTGGACAAGTCCACAATGTACACGAGGAATGGGACTAGGAAGCGGTGGGATAAGCAACAAAACAACGAACCAAGCAGCCAACCAACCGACCGGCCAAACAAACCAACAACAAAGAGGCAAACAAACAAGCACAAACAACAACAACATACAGGAACAATCCGCACACACAAACACAATCCCAACAAAAAGCAGAACACACGAGTAGGCAAGCAAGCAAAGCACAGCAAAGCAACGCAAGGCAAGGCAATGCAAGGCTATTCAAGGCAAAGCAAAGCACGCAAAGCAAGCAAGCCAGCCAGCCAGCCAGCGAGCGAGCAAAATTCACAAAAAAACACACACAAACAACAACAATGCAAACAACCAACCAAGAAAACACATAATCAAACAATCAAGGAAACAACTAAACAACAAACCAATCAACACAACACTCAACTAAACAAAACACGCACAAACCAACCAAGCAAACAAACGGACAAAGCAGGCAAACACACAACCACATACACAAACAAACCAGACAGACAAACACACAAACAAACAAGCAAACACACAGACAGGCAACCAAACAAACAGACAGGCAAACAAACCAGCCAACCAACAACCAAACAATCAAACAATCAAACCAACGAGCAAACAAACAAACATCCAAGCAAGCAAGAAAGCAAGCCAAATGCAAACACAAACAAACACATATGAACACAGACACACCAGGCTACAACACTATTTGCAACATTGTTGAGTTCTAGCAAGTTCGTTTTAATTTACCCTACCAGACTTTGGGTCATCATCCAGTGCACAGATTGGGGTGGGTCCCTCGTAACATCTGCTTTGCTAAGTCGGCATCCTCTCACGCCAAATGGCCAATCTTCATACTGTTGAGTGGTGAAAACATAACGAAGGTCCCTTATATATATACAAAGGGTCGAATCTGTCTAGCACATGCAATGCTCAAGAGTCCCAATAACGATGCACATCGCTTAAGTTGAATAACTGATGGGTATATTTCGTACTTTCATGACATCTCCCTTGGTACACGTTAACTCAGATGCCCAGTGGCCATGGGCTTAAAGGGTCTCTTCCAAAACGAAAGAAGAGGGCGCCACCGGGCAACAGAGGGGCCCCAATCCCGTTGTTTGGCCCGAAGTGGCGCTACTGGCCGAGCGATGCTTCCCGGCCTCATGCCTTTGATGAGTAAGGGGTTAAGCACCGAGATGAGGCCGGTGAGAGGCATCGCCGTAAAGGCCGCCCACATCAGGGGCACTAGCACCTAGGTGCTCAACTCATCTGGGTGGCATACATCGCATTGGGCAAATGACCACACGGGTGTGGGTCAAACATAGGGTAACCCCCAAATGGCACCCTGGAAAATGGAAGCAATGACTAACCTGCGGTCCCCTGGTGGTTTAGCTTTGACACACACACACACACCACATTTCACAAAAGTGGATCCAAATGAACGGAAGCAAGGGAAGAACTTGGGTAGCACGGAACACATCTGCAAGCAGTGCTACTCCCAAGCCTGAGGTGAGACACAAGCCTGAACAAACTCGGTGCGTCCCATCTCGCTGAGCATCAAGTACTTTGCCTTTTGTGGAGGTTCAATAGAAACCAAACTAACAGCTTCAAAATGTTCCAAGGGGCTAAAAGAGCGGACCTGTCTCTGGGACTGCCCAATGCTTTGCACCCAGGTGCCGCCAACTGAACACTCTTGGACGAGCTCGTTTTGTGGCGGGCCGGCGGTGCCTAAAAAGAATGTCCATATCTTATTCCTAGGTCCATTATTGACCTTCTCAAAGTCATCCCTAGGCCTCCATGCTACCCTTGGAAGCAGCCAGGGCGAAGGAACTTTTGTGCCCTGAAAAAAGACACCGCGTGACAAGTACAGGGCAAGTTGGGCTTGCAGAAGCAATTTGTTGTGGTCTCAGTCTGCCTTGTGGATGTCATGGCCGACATCACTCTGAGGAAGCTTCAAAGCAGTTCCCACGCACGCCACGGGAACGTGTGGAATGTCTTTTCCGGGTGTGGTCGTTTCCGAGGCCGCGGCAGGGGGGCAAGCTCGCAACAGCATAATGCATTTTAGCCCTGCTGAGGCCACTTCACAGTCCAACACATCAACAAACTCTGTAGGTAGCCCACGCGCCCAAGCTCCCAGCCCTACTATAGGAGTGTGACAATTTATGTTCCGCGTCTCCAAAGCCCCCTGGGAACAAGCTGACAAAGTGTCAAGTTGTACGAAAGGGTAAAGTCCAGACCTTACAGTCAAGAAGTTTCATGAAACACGAGCATAGCAATGTACCGCAGAAGTTTCAACCTCACCTGACAGTATTGCCACTACAAACTGATTGGGGACCACCCAAAACCGGTACCCAACCCTTCAAACTGAGGACACGCACACACACACATAAACACCACCGATACTGTCCAGTGCTCATATGGGTGTGTCTGTGTGTGATTGTTTAAGGGGGACAGAATAGTGGCTTCCTTTTGGTTTCCCTTCAAAACCACCAAACATTGGGTACCCCAAAAAGACAGACCTATATACCGCTTGTTCATAAGCCCCAACACAAGCATCCGACCCAACGCCCACGTTTTGCCGAGTCTCGGTGCTTAGGGCTTGCGTCAGGTACACCACTGCTGAGGTGCCTAGGTTGCAAAAAGGTGTCCCGACTCACTCAGGGCTGATTAAGCCCCGCATTTAGCCCTAGCTCTCGTTTTAGGGGGTACCACTTTAAAGCGGTACCAGGAATATCGAAACTAAAATGCCATACTCTCTTGTAAGACCCAAGCACAAATGAGGCGTACCTGGCAGCTTCATGACTACCGGCTCCGCCTCTTCTCAACGTCGATGGCAACTTGCGCTCGCTGCATTCGGGTGAATTTTCAAATACTCTTAAAGTCACTCCCAAATGGAATCTGCATTCCTGGGGAGGCTCTTTCCGATGCTCGCCTTAGAGACTTGCATTTCTGCGATTTCCACGCGGGCACTAGTATGAAGTCTGACCAACAACATCTCACTTCAGGAATCATTGCCCTTGTAGGGCTACTATCCCGGCCACTGTTCTCCCTGAGTTAGTGCCATTTCCTGCCGAGGTGTATGAATGGTTTTCACAGCCTCTCTCCAATTCGACCACAAACAGCTCAATCTGTGCTCCAAGCATGCATTTGTCAAGCTGCTACACAGTCCAGTCGTGGAACAAATGGCAGGGCCAACGAAATGATGAGAACTCATGAGCAATCAATACGCGTCGTATGGCACTGACTATGTTTTCCATAAACTCATGCTGAAGTTGCCCATTACGTTGCTGCTAAAACGGCACTATTCCCATCATGACCCCATTCAGAAAGAGTCAAATTACTTCCGTGAGCAACTCCCTTCGTTTCAGTCCATGACTGAGATGCCTAAAGCAGACCTTTAGGATCAGGCGATCGACCATGCTCGTTCAATGGGAACCTTGCGGCTGTGCTGAACAGTTTAGGTGACGCTGGCAGGAAAAGGGGTTCCTTGAGGTTTAGTGGGGAACCCGAGCCAAAACAAGAAATGGGTTTGTTGGGCCCGTTTCTGCCAAGTGCGCCTCGCCAAGCTGCACACTAGCATCATAAAGCCAACGAAGGCGGTATTCTGCTGGTACTCCTCAGGGGACGCTGGAAGTAAAAGAGCAGGCTCAGTGCGAACATGTGATTGCGTCGGCGAAAATACAACATTGCTCATGCAGGCCCACTATGACAAGTGAATGCCAAACTGGTAACTGGTACGAAAAAGACCGGTGACTCTACTGTAGGGATACGCTGGCCCTTCAAACTCCCAACCAACCAATCAACCCCCAAAAAACAGCCTTGCATCCCGTTCATCCCGAGCCATGTAAACCGAACGTAGCCTCAAGATGCCACAAGCTTCCGCAACCAGCATCATTTGAGCACCTACCACCTGACCTCTTCATATATGTGAGCAGTGCCTAAACCCCATGGACGTTCGGGTACAAAGACGCTTACAACGGCTTATGTAGGCCCACCACTAACCAATGAAAACGGGAATTCGATCCATCTATATACAAAGAAATACAATATGGATTTGGGCGCTGCTCATGTGTGTGTGTGTGTGTGTGTTTTGGTGCCCAACTGAATAATTTTCTGATCAGAAACCTAACCCTGAGCTCATGACAGAGGCAACTCCGTTTGAACACAGCTCACTCTCCCCACATTTCACGATCGCCTGGAGCCGGCCGCGTCGCTCTGGGCGCATATGGGCAGAAGGGGATGACGCCTCCATGGTCCGCATGGCGAAAGTGGAAAAGAGACTCAGTGGCGGTATCACCAGGACCAGAGGCTCACTGATTGCTTCCACCAACGCTGATGTGACCTATCTAGAGACGCACTGATTGTAAGTGGTGAGAACGGTGCTGCATCGGATGACATCAACTGGCATCTCTTTACTGTGCTGGGGTTTTCGTGATATCGACTGGTAGCGGTGCTGCGTCGAGACAACGCCAACATTCACGAATCAGGAAAATACAGTTTCATACTGGTTGGTGTGAACCACCATTTTGCACTCTGAATTGGTGCTGTGTGTGTGTGTCCCGTAGCGTTAGGTAATATATGATATATGTTTAAGATTGATGATTGTCATGAGATCATGCCTGGTGTGTTCGAGCCATGCACTATGGGCAAAGTACTTCAACCGCATTTCTTGGTTGTGCGCTTGAGGAGGGATGCAAACATGTTTGCATAAGTGATGTGGCATTGCTGGCACTTCCCACCCCAATACGTGGCCTGGTTCCGCAATGAACACCTCAATCTGTGCGTTCCTGTCATGGATACAAGCTGCAAGCCAGAAGCCCACGGAGCTCATGTCAGCGTTGCACGACAGCAAACGATTGCTCATCCAGTGGATGGACATCATATCACAAGTTGATAGGAGGAGTATCCCTTTTGTCATGGGGCTTTATTCATCCTGGCTGGTACAAGATTTTGGCTATCCACAGTAGCAGGGTCGCCTGAAGATCGCGGAAGGGGAGTAGAGGGAAATGACATGGAGCAAAAAAGCTTAAATCCAAACCCAAAGTGTCCAGGAGAAAAACACAAAGGCAAATTCAAGAAATTCTAAAGGCAAGCGAGAGAACTAATCTGATCCTCGCTAATCAGTCTCGGGCTCCGTCCTCACAAACAGTCCCGTCACATGTGACGGACAAGCAAAGCACGTTGTCACGTGGTACCGTTTAAATTACACTTTGCTTCACTGTACCTGGAAAAGCCTCATACAGCAAACCCATAGATTGTGTGCAGCAACATTCAACATGAACGCAGTGCTCACCATTTGCTGAAAGAGCCCGTTGGTGGCTGCCCAAGGAAGAGGGTCACTTCACTTCACTGTCCATGTCGATTTAAATCGAGGCATGCAAGCAATCAGTTGGCGTCTGAGACGCACACGGGAAACCGCGCCTACGAATATGTCAGATGCAGAAAATTTGGTTTGCCTTTGCTATTTCATCTAATCTAAGTCACATCCCCATCCCCCCAATCAGACTGAGAGCCCGACGGAGCTGGCCTGCAAGGAGACGTGTATACTGGGCCTATCCCAGGCTTGCGGGGTGAACACACAGTGAGCACGTGAGACCGTATGACAAGGTCAACCAGGGTTTAACCGTTACAAACTATGTCAGTCCTCTCGAAATTCAAGAACTGAACCTGTGTATCTATACCAGCGCCGGAGGCTCAACTTTTGACAACTTCTCCCTGGGTGGTTGTTTCGGGGAACACGTAACATAAAAAGGACACTGCTCGTCCTTGAAAGCTACTATAGCCTGTTTCGCCATGAGTAAATTCCACAGCCGGAACCGGCCTACTGCAGTCAGAGCTCAAGGAGCACTGTTTGCACAGGCTTTGATAGACATGCTGGCTCCCACGGATACGTATGGCCACTCTTCTCACTGCAAAGGACCTAGAAATGAATGACAACCCGTACCTGCAGTAAACCTAAAGCAGCCACTGCGAAACCAAAAGATCAGCACAACCACGAAAAAGGGATGTACATCCAGAAAAGACACACAGATATTGTAATGTGGGACCATCTTGGTGCTGCTTGTCCAGTTTCTGTGTGTGTGTGTCTCCTTCTTGAGGGTGTCCTTTTGAGGATGTCTCATGTCAAATGGAAAACAAAAGAAACAACACACAGCTTAGGGGTTCTGGAGACAAACCCGTATCTGGTGGCTGGAATAAATGGCTGTGCGACAAGTTTTGGGTGAGCGCCCTGACTCCAATATGTTCAGAATCTCCACTTTTGAACCTGATCGGGTGGGTGGGCTTCAAGTTCTGGCTCTCGAATTGGGACACCCAATCAGCAGTCCATATCAATCCATGTGGCCAATGGCCCTTCCGATGATACCCAGGATCCCCTTTCCTACGCGTTACAGCCGGTTCACTTTGTATCACACAGAATAGGCCAACACCTTATTCGACGAATGGTCAATGTTCTCCGTGAGTCTGAGACGGGGCACACCCAGCACGGTTTCAAGCCACCAGTCCCAATTTATCCGTTCCCCAAGGTTGGGAACACCGCATAGGTATCAATCAACCCAGGGTCCAACGATCTCGCCAACCAAAAGTAACCTCCTGGTTGTTAGAGGACACGAGCCGATTTGCCGACAAGCGTCAATGGCCTCTCACCCTTCACTGAATTGCAACTTCTCTGATAATGTTGGGAGTTGATTTAAAATCACCCCTGATTGATGCTAATCTGCTCCCCTGAGTCCCCTCACTGAGACTATATATTGCATTTCAGACAAGGTTGGATAATCTGGTCACCCCGTATTAACTTTTTGTCACGCCTACACAAACCCTCTGATTAGTGCCAACCTTACTCCTCCAAAGACAATAAACATACAATTCTACAGTACAAAGCTATTGCGAATACCTTTCAATGAGCTACTATTGCTACAGTATGTTTATGGTTTGTCTTTTTTCCTTTATGTATTTCATTGTAGCTCTTTCTTTCTTCATTCCGTTCTTTCTTTCTTTCTTTCTTTCATGGTTCCAAGGACGCCAATAACAGATCAAACAAAACAGCTATCAAGAAAAAACAAAAGAGTTCGTTCAACACAGTAAGGTTTGACAAGCTCATCCCACTTCAAGTCAGCCCCCATCCAATAACACAAGCCATCATGGCCCTCTCCAGCACTGGAACATTAAACATAAACTCCGCTTACTTTCCTATTGCAGTCCTATTGGCCAAGACAGGGAGAGGAAAAAGACGACCAAAGAAGACTGAAATTAAGGGCCCAGGGTGACCTTCAAAAACCCTGTCTTTTCTTTGTTCGAGACCTTGGAGGCAGGAGGGGTTGCAAATCAGCAGCAATCATTGTCACCGAAAGTCCTTCCCAATGCGTAGCTGCGTTCCGCGCCGTCCCCATCCTCTTATCTGTCGTGGATTCAGATGGCAACTCACCTGAAACATGGGGGAACCGCAGCCGCAAGCCGATTTCTGAGTCCTGCACACGGGTTTTCCCGGGTATATATTGGAAAATGAGCAAACCAATCCAACATGCCGACCTGAGGTTGACATGATGTCGAGGTTAGAGGCAGACTCAGCTTCTCGCCGAGCACGAATCTGGCTGAGCCATATTTCAACATGTAGAACAAATGCAGCGCTGGAATGTGGATTCTCACTCACAGAATAGCTTGCTTTGTTGGAGGTCCAAGCAAATGAACCTCAGGTTTAAGTCCCTCTGAGTTAGCGAACGCGTTGAGCGTTGGAAGGCCACACCAAAACCCAACGCAGCTGGTCTTGGGCCATGCCATGCCGCCTCTCATTCTGAAATGAGGGCGCTCAGTGAAAATTGAGCAAAACACGAGGGCAGGATAACCCGAATTCTGTGAAGTTCATCAGGCCGTGAAGCATGCGGAAATTCTCTCGGCAGGACGAACCAGTGAAACACCATGCGCCAAGAACGAGGCTCCAGTTACTCTTTGCCTTCACAAATAGAACTGGTAGAAGGCGAGCGGAAGACTTGTCAAGAGCTCAGATCTTGAACTGTCCCACACTTGAGATCCCAGAAGCGGAGACACAGCTGGAGTTGCTCTCACTGGCCACTCACGTCCCCGTCCCCGCTGAACCCCTGGACATCGGGCCTTCAAAATGTACGCCTGCATACACCTGCCCAGGAAAGATTAAAAATCCTTGCCTCGCGCGAAATGGGTCGTGAGAATGATTGCGGATTTTCCCACACGCCCATGATGAAACAGCCAGTATTTCGATGTATCTCAGATCTAAGCATGAAGAACTTGGGTTCGTCTCAAACTTGGGGATACCTGGAGTGCTTGGTTTTCTTGCGTTCCTTGAAACAAAAGGGTATCTTCAACAAAAGACACAAACGCAAATATTGTGACACCAGCCATGACGTGAGCTGGCAACAAAGCGACATGCGAGAAATGGCCGCAGGACAACCGCGGTATGTGTTTCAGGTTACATGTTCCAAGGAGCCAACACTCCTTGAGCGTAATCATACAGTCATGCATGTGGACTATTCAAAATATCATGGGTGTGTGCCTCGAAAATGTCGGCGGGGTCGCAATTTGAGTTACTCATGATTCATGATTCATCGACCCATCTTGCGCGAGGTGAAGAACTCAAACTTGCCATGCCGTATATCTAGAAGCGGCGGTGGTTAATCGCGGCAGCTGAGGATGCAGCACAAGTGGAGCGCTTGGACCTAAGAACCACCACAACTATGTGTTTTTTCCTGCACGGAGTCCAAGGACCCAAGAGTGAACAAAGAAGGCCCTGAAAATCAGTTCAAATTGTTCAAAGGTTTGCTTGTCGTAGACCTAAGAGCAAATGCTCCGTGCCGGCTCGCCCCCGATTTGCCCCACAAAGAGAAGAACAAAGCCCCGAGAACCGCGTGAGGTCTCTCACTGTCTCGAAGCCCGAAAAGGTGCACGCTGACTCGGAGCACAGAGACTCGGTCGAATCATCCCCCACTTGGAACAAGTAAACCCCGATAAGTGTGAATAGCTCACCAAGCTGAAACACTACATGTAGGCTCAAAGAGAGGCCAACTCATTGCGGGTGACGTTGTTAGCACCCTTTGGAAGTTGCAAGACTTTGCCAAGAACCAATCAAGGACTTCAGCAAACTGCAGGGCACAAGTTCCCCTGCTTGCAACAAGGGTTTCAATTGCAAAGGACGGAAATGGCGCCCAAGCTGGTACTTGTCAACGTGGATGAGTATCATCACTGTGTGTCAGACGGGTTATCCTCAGGGCTAGATGCCATCGGGTGGCGATACCCATCGTGACACCAAGCAAATTTGTCAGTTGATTGCTCATGG